GAATTCCTCTGAGCCCTGCAAGCCTAGGGGTCACAGTGCACCCCTGAAGCTGACTCGGGGGGAGCCAGGCCCAGAGTCAGAGGAAGCTTTCCAGGAAGCTGCAATGCGCTGGTTCTTTTTATCTCGACCTAACACTACACTAGGAGCTCTGGTGGCACAGTGCCTAAGGCACATACATGACTGCTAACCAGAAGGCTGGCGGTTCAAACCCACCAGCCACTCCTCGGAAGGAAAGTTGGGCAATCTACTTCCATAGTGATACTGCCTTGGAAACCCCAGGAGGGGTCGCTATGAGTCGGGTCCGACTCCACGCACATAACAACAACACTACACTAAGTAAAGGCAGCCTTCAGGCTGAACTAATAATAATACCAACAAAGGGCATGTATTTGACGGACTTCTTCCTATTCGGTCATGACCTCCCCGATCCCAGTACTCATCCTGCCGGACTGGGATGGAGCCACCGGTCCGGCTGCAGGGCCACTGGAACAAGACATCATGGTGGGTAAAACGAAGATGAACGGGCCCTCAGTGACATGGACTGACTGACACAGCGGCTGACCCCAGGGGCTCACACCCATCAGTGATTATGTCACTCCTGGGAAGGAGGAATGGTCGCCGGTCCGGTTCTGTCGCGTTCCTCAGGCGGACAGTCACACTACTGCAGACCCCCGTGGGGCCTGAATACCCACCTGTTTTTAGAAATGAACATATTATTATGCCCGCAGCACGAATCTCCTTGTTACACATAAAAGTAACGCCTTTTGGGCTTGTGGGGGGAGGGGCGGTGCCGCACTGTCCCGGACGCCTCGCATTCCTCACCCTGGGAGGTCCGTACGCGTTTCGAAGTCAGGATGCGCGCCTTCTCGGAGCTTTACGGTAAGCGCGGCGCGCAGAGCAACCACGTGGCCGCGGCCCTGGGGCCCGGCGGGAATGCGCGGAATGCGCGGCGCGTCCCCGCACCGCTCTGAGCGCCGGCGCGGGTCAGGACACGCGACCCCCGCCCCAGCCTCGGCGCCCCCACCGGGCCCGGCCCCGGACGCACGCGGGCACTCTGTGGGGTTTGGGGGGCGGAACGTGGCCCAACTACTCCCTGGGACCCCGCGCGCCTAGATCCCCCAGTGGGTCCCGACCGAGGTCCCGCCACGAGCCCCCGACGGCGCAGGCACAAAGGTCCCCAGGCGAAGGGTGCGAAGTGCTAGGTTTGCACCCCTCTCCCCTCCGTCCTCCTCTCCGTCCTCGCCTCGGGCAATTACCCGGAGTCCCGGAACTCGGAGGCTCCCCGTAGAGACCCCGGCCGCCCCACCACCCCCAAGGCCTCGGAGCAGCGTGGAGACGCTCTGGGGCCGGATCCACGGGAGGAAGCCGGCGAGGGCGGCTCCGAGTGCGGGGAGAAGAAGCGGGGCAGCGCAGGTGACAAGCTGCGGAGGGACGTCAGGATCCCGCTCCGCGCGTCTGGAAAGCTGCCGCCGCAGGTTCCGCGGCCCCGCGAGGACCGGAGCGCCCCGTGCGCCCACACCCGGGCAGGGGCCCACGCAGACCTCGAGGGGGCTGTGGCCTCCGCTTCTTTGCCTTGGTTGGAGGGGCTTGCTTTCCCACTCGGGCGCCCACTCCCCAAGGGGAACTTGAGCCTGCAGGCCGGAAGTGCCCGGTGAGCTTTGGGGTTCATTTTGCTCCGGGCACCCTATGATGAGTTTTGAGGGGCAGAGGTCGAGGGGACAAAAATCCTTTCTCCCTAGCGATACCAGATGCGTCACCGGGGCCAAGGCTTCCTACCTGCTGGGGTTCGCTTTTGAACTCCCGCGCCCACCTCGCCTGCAGCCTCGCGGCCCCGATGCCCGAGGGCAGGGGCAGCCAGCGGGTGGAATTAACCGATCGCGGTTGGGAAGGCGTGGGCTGCGGCTGCCCCCTCCCCAGCTCGTAGTGGCCGGACGCCGAGGCCCGGTGCGCCCGGCCCGCAGCTTGGAGGCACCCGCAAGGAGCGCCACGAAGGGGCGGTGGGGCTGCAGAGCACGTGGGCCGCCCTGAGCGCCCCAAAGTGAGCAGCGTGGGGGCAGGGGAGGCCGAGTGCCCCGGAACCTCGCGGCCCGCCTTCGGAAGCGCCTTCCAGTGCGACTTAAGAGCTTAACAATGGAAAACTCGCAGGGCCCCAGCCAAGTCCTTTCAAGTTGCCGCCAGGTATGCGGCTGCAGGTGACCCCACCTGGGTGCGCCCGCCGACCCGCGGTCCTCCCGTGGGGGGTGGGGACGGTGGGTGCGGGATTGGACCACGCCCGCGGATGGGTGCCCCTCGGTCCGCAGCCCCCTCCCGAAGAGCCCCCGGAGCCGGCAGCGCGCAGCCGCGGTGCGTCCGGGTCGGCGCCGCGGCGCGCGGGTTCCTGAATGAACGCGCTCCCTTCCCCCTCTGAATGAAGGTTCCCACAGCCAGGGACGGTGGAGCATACGCCCGGCGCAGATGAATGCGCCTTCGCCCGCATGCTATCGGCCGGCGGTGGCCACCGCCCGCGGGGCCGGGGCCGGGGCCAGGGAGGCGGAGAGGGGGTTTCAGTAATTCTGGGTTTACTCCGAGTTGGGTCACTGGCCCTTTGTCTCCAAATGGTCCCACGAAACCAGCGCAGAGCACTTTAAGTGAGCTCTGACTACGCAGTGTCTGCTGCGTGGTAGGTTTTACAAAGACAGTACCAAGTGAAACCCGGACACAGAAAAGTTCCGAAATGTTTGCATTTCTCCGTGCAAAAAAAATTAAAAATAAAAACGCGTCCTTTGCTTTTGGCAGCAGTCGCCCTCAAGGGCCCCGGGCGGTGGGTTCCTTCGGGGCCTGGGAAGCCTCCAGGCTGGGCTTCCCGGGTGGGGGCTGGGCTGCGGGCGCTCCCCATGGGGCCCCAAATTCCTGCGCCTCCCCCACCGGTTCCTGGACGGCTCTGCACGCCCGCGGCCTGGGCTTGCACTTTTGCGCCTGTCCCTGAGCGGAGACATCCACCGAGTTCCTCGTCGAGATCTGCCTGGCCCGCCTAGTAACAGCGCCGCGCCCCCATTGGCTCATGCTAATTCCAGTTTCCTCTCGTTCTGGCGGTGGGGGGGCAGCTCCCCTCCCGGCCCCGGAGCCCCAGTGGTTGGAGTGGGCGATTCTCTTTATGCCCTGCTGCCCCTCGCGGACGCCGGGGGCTCGCGCCTTGGGCCGGGCTGCACGTGGGGGCGCGAGCCCCTGGACCCTCGGGACAGAGCGGCCGGTGAGGGCGCGCGGCCCCATAAATCATCAGGCCGCCGCCGGGTCGGGATTTTATGAATGAAAAGCCGCCTGGCCGCCCTCGTGCGCGGGCTGAAGCTGCCGAAGCTGCAACGTGCCCGGAGCCGGCGGGGGCGTGGGTGCCCGGGCAGGGGGCACGGCGGTAGGCGCACACTGCCGGGTCACCTAGCGCCTCGGGGCGATGACCTCCCAGACCTGGAGTAATATATTCGCCACCCTCATCCCGCGGGGCATGGGGCGCGGGAGGGATCCCCCGGTCGGTCAGGGGGCGTCTTCACTCGCGGGGTCGGTCCTTGCAAATAGGAGGATTTTCTGAAAACCCGCTTCCTTCGGCTCCGTTACTACTAGTGGAGTCGGTGGTTTTAGGGTACTGAACTGTATTCAGAGAAATGTATATGAAGTCTACAGGTAGTAGAATGAAAACTAAAAAACGTTAAGACTGGTGACAACCTTTTATGTAAAAACAAATAGTAAACATCAAATAGAGAATATCCATATAATAAAAAAAAAACTTTTTTTTTTAATGTGTGTGTCTCTTAACTTTAAGATTGGGGACCCGTCCTAGTGCACTGATAATATATAGATGATATATTGATTTTGTTTAAAATCGTGTATTCAATACACCTATTTCTCTAACTTAAAATTGTTGTAATTTTTTGCCAACCCCCGCGCTCACAAACGCAGCCCCAGAGCAAATTCTGGAGGTGCAGAGACGTGCGCACCCCTAAGAAAACCAACAGGAACCTTCCGGTGGTCTCGTCCCAGGCAGAAGAGCCTAATATTCCCAGCAATTTAATTCTTTGCTAATTAAAAAGTGAGGCAGGACAGAGACCCCAGTCTCTCAGCCTTCCATTCGGAGGTACTTTTCCTGCTGTTGAGATGCTGGGGGAGGGGACCCTTGGGGAGCCCCCGAAAGGATGGACTTGCCGAGGTTGGAGGACAGCCGGTGGGTCCCCCAGGCGAGCAGGACCGGGGGGCTGGAAACGCTGGCCACCATCTTGGGCGGCTGCTGGGAATTTCGGGGATGTATTTTATTTTATTTTTTGAGCGAGCCTCGGTTGGGCGGAAGCACCTTTAATGTTTGGAATCACCCCCTCGGGCGTTTTCAACGACACCCCCCCCTTTGCGCCGGAATGAAGGCGCCACCAGGGCCCTGCGCTCGGCCCGGCGCGCCCGCGGGTGAAACAGTTCCTGAAATTTACACGTGTTCATGAAAATGAAAGAGCGGCCGGAGCCGGGGTTCCTCGGCCGGCCCTCCGCCCGTGGGCGCCCTCGTGGCGTTCTCGGACACGCGCCCATTCTCCCGGCTCGGATTGGGGGTGTCGCCGAGCCCCAGCGTCCCCCCTCCATTCGATCCCCCACAGCTGCGTGCGGCCTGCCTGCCCTCCTCGTTGTCCCCGTGGGCAGAGCCCCCTCCCCAAATCCCGAGGGACCCACTTGGGAAGAACAAGCCCCCCCTGAACCCCTCTTGCCCCGCGGGGAGAAAGGCCGCCGCGGGGCGATTTGCATTTGCAGGAAAAGCCGGCTTCGGGGGGAACTGTGTCGCGGGGCAGGCGCGGCGCCGCGGGGCTGCCTTTTGGGCTCTGCCCCTCGCCGCTCCCCTGCGCTCGGCCCGCGCCCCCTCCCCCTGCGCCCGCCCCGCCCCCCCGCTCCCATTCTCTGCCCGGCTTTGATCTCTGCTTAACAACAGTAACGTCACAAGGACTACAGGGGAGTTTTGTTGGAAGTTGCAAAGTTCTGCAGCCTCCAGAGGGCTGTCGGCGCAGTAGCAGCGAACAGCAGCGGCCGCGCGCTCCTGCGAGGGGCAGACGAGGGCGAGGGAGCGCGGGGCGCGGGAGGAGCGAGGCCGAGCGCGCAGACCGAGCGGGAGCCCGAGCCGGCCGGCCGCCCAGCCCAGCCGCAGGCATGGAGCACCAGCTTCTGTGCTGTGAGGCGGAGACCATCCGCCGCGCCTACCCCGATGCCAACCTCCTGACCGACCGGGTGCTGCAGGCCATGCTCAAGGCGGAGGAGACCTGCGCGCCCTCGGTGTCCTACTTCAAGTGCGTGCAGAAGGAGATCCTCCCGTCGATGCGCAAGATCGTGGCCACTTGGATGCTGGAGGTGCGTGGCGCAGGGCCGCCCTTTGGGGACTTTTCTGCCACTTGTTGCCAAGCCCGGATTGCTTTGCCCCTCATCTCTCCCCTCTAGCCTCCTCACCCCAACTTTCCAGTTCGCCTAGGGGCTTCTAGGAATTGGGCTTTTCTTAAGAAATAGATTTTATGGGTTTCTTTTTTTTTTTTTTTGAAACCAGGAAGAAATGGGACTGGGGTTGGGGGTGTTTGAAATTCCCTTTTCTCGGGATGGAGGGCTCGAAGAGGGGTGCCTTCGGGGCAGCGAGTGCCAGGGCCACCCGAACGGGCTGGAAGGTGCCTGTCGGCCGGCCAGCGTCTTTGGTGGCCCCCTCTTCCGTCCGCTCGGCGCTGCGCCTCCTCTCCCGGCCACCGCGGCCCGGGGCGCCTCGGGGGGAGGGGGTATCGATTGGATTTTTAAATTAATATCCATGGACACGTATGCAAGGGCCGCTCGTGCCAGTATTATGCGCCATCTTTGTTCTTTTATTGCAAAGCAAAAATGTTTATTAATAATTGGGGGCAGGGTGGGGGCGGGGAGCGGTCGGCGAGACGCTGGGGCCGCTGCGAGGGGCCGCGCGGCCGCCGGGGACCGGCGGGGGGGGCGCAGGGACGGGGGGTTGGCAGTTTGGGGGGGACCCCGCCCGGGAAAGGGGGCTCCTTTGTTCAAGCAGCGAGCCCCGGGGCGCCCCGCACGGCCAGGCTGGCCCGGAGAGCACGCCGGGCTTGCAAGGTCGCGTGGCCTTCAAGACGCCAGGAATTGACCCCGTCTGCGAGGGGCTTGGCTTGGGGGGGGCCTGTCCAGAGCCAGCTGGGTGCTGGGGGCACATTTTCAGGCCCAAAGTGGGCGTCTGGGGGGCCCGCGTGTATTTTTAAATAATTTTTGAAAGTGCGGCGCGGTGCCCTTGCGAGAGGAAAGCGGCGTCCGCGCCTAGGGGGAAGGGGTGCCCCCGAATTTTAATCCCTGGGGCGCTCCCTGGAGCCCACAGCGAGCTCCCGAACCCCGGCCTAGGTAAAGGGCCGCCTGAGGGTCGTTCCCAGGGACTTTTTATGCGCCCACTTATTTTTTTTATATTTTTAAATATTTTTTGAAAAGATGACGTCTGGGGAAATGCGCCGCGGCGGCCTGGGACGCCACCTTTGTGTCTCGCAGACGCGGCGAGCGCGGCGCCCAGCCCCGTGGCCCGCCCCGCGGCCCATTTGGTGCGGGCTCGCGGCCAGGAGGGCCCCCGGCGCCCCCAGGTGGGCTGGGGTCCCGGGGTCGCGCCGCCGCCCGCGGTGCCCTCCCCCGCCCCCGCTGTGCCAGCCGCGCGGGACTTTCCCTTTCAGTTTCGGGGCTGGGTGGGTGCCGGGGGCGCGCGGGGGCCAGGACGCGTCATCCGAGGCTCGGGCCACCCCCTGCCCGGTGCCTCCCCGCGCTCGGGAGCCGCAGCTCCGTTGCGCGCGCGCCGGGTGGGTATGCGGGGACGCCGGACGGGGGTCCCACGCGCCCGGCGGCGGCGGTCACGGCCTCCGCGCCCCTGCAGGTCTGCGAGGAACAGAAGTGCGAGGAGGAAGTCTTCCCGCTGGCCGTGAACTATCTGGACCGCTTCCTGTCTCTGGAGCCGGTGAAAAAGAGCCGCCTGCAGCTGCTGGGGGCCACCTGCATGTTCGTGGCCTCCAAGATGAAGGAGACCATCCCCCTGACGGCCGAGAAGCTGTGCATTTACACGGACAACTCCATCCGGCCTGACGAGCTGCTGGTAACCAGGGGACCCCCCATGGCCTCAGGGCACCCCGTTTGCTGCAAGACCCCCGGGGAGGTGGGGGGGTGCCGGTGGAGGGGAGGCCTAGCCACCCACTGACAGATCTTCCATCCCAAGGGAGGGCAGCCACACCGCTCTGGGGGACCACCTGAGAACAGAGAGCGGCGATTGTGCCGGCCGCCCCCCATCTCCGCGCCCGCCGCCCCATGTCCCACTTTCGACCACGTTTGCGCCCCAGAACGCAGGCGAAAAGTGGGCGGCGCGCGCCCTCTAGCGGTGGCGGCGCGCGCAGGCGGCCCGCGCTAATTAATAAGGCCTTTGGTTCCAGATGGTGGGAGGTCTTTTTGTCTCCACTTGCAAACAGTCGGCTTAATGATAATGAGCGCGCGGGCCTTTTCATGGGGCACCTTCTCTGTTTTGATCTGGGATCGCGGGCTGTCGACCCCCCTCGCTCTACTTCCTGGACCCTTCGACAGGCCGCGCCTCCCCTCCCCCCCCCCCCCCCTCTACTTCCTGGACCCTTCGACAGGCCGCGCCTCCCCTCCCCCTCCCCCCTGCCTCTGTTCCCCCATCCCAGGCCCCCCATGGCTGACCCTGCACCTCTCTCTCTGTCCCGCCCGCCCCGTCTCCACAGCAAATGGAGCTTCTTCTGGTGAACAAGCTCAAGTGGAACCTGGCGGCCATGACCCCCCACGATTTCATCCAGCATTTCCTGTCCAAGATGCCGGTCACCCCAGACAACAAGCAGATCATCCGCAAACACGCTCAGACCTTCGTGGCGCTCTGTGCCACAGGTAGGGGCGGCCGCTGGCCCTCCTCGCCAGAGCAGCGCGGCCGGCTTGTGCTCCTGGCCTCAGTTTCCCCATCGGGGCACAGGAGCCCAGGCTTCCCCGCCCCCCACCAGACGCCCCTTTCTCCTCTCCCTGTCCCCGGAGAGTTAAACTTGCGGAGAGCTTGTTGTTTTGGGGAGTCTCACGGCTGAGGTTGGCCGTGGCCACCATTCAGTGCATTGGAACTGAGGGGGGCCAGGCTGCAGTCACCCCACACTGGAAGGGGTTTAGTTTGTCAGTAACCCCGCCTCCTACCCCTCCCCCCCAAAAAAAATCCTTCTTCCTATGTCCTCAAGGAGCCTGAGCCGCGGGGGCCCTCTCCTGGCCTTTCCCGGGCTGGGCCCCCTGCCAGGGGCGCCCACAGGGGCGGGAGTCCCAGGGACTGAGCCAGGGGCTGGGCCTGTACCACGTGCGGGGGCCGCCAGCAGAGGAGCGTGGCCAGAGGCCCCGCCAAGGGCGCCTCGGGGCGCTGGACTGGGCCGGGCCTGGGAGGGGCTTTGGAGCCGGCCTGGACTTAGTTGGCAGCGGAGGAGCGCCTGGCCCGCCTTCCTCCTGGCACTGCCCCACCCCAGCCAGCCTGCCTCTGCGGACTTGTGCCAACAAACCCACCACAGCCCAGGCCTGCGTCTTACGGTGTGAGCGGACCCAGTGGGGGCGCCCAGTGCCGTCCCGCCTCCATGATCACACCCAGTTTGACATCAGGTTTGGGGCTCATTTGGGTGACTTGAGGGCCACAAGGCAGGATTTCATCAAACGGTTGAGGAAGTTGAGGGAGGGCGCAGTTGGGGTCTTCCCCCAACTCCCCAAAAGGGAGGAAGCCTCCCAGCCCTGGCCTCAGAATTCGCCCCTTAACTGACTCAGCCCCAGTGAGTAAGATTCCAGGACAGGTTTCTTTTGGACACGACTTGAGGAGAAGAGGCTTTGGCCCCCCGGCCCTCCTCAGGCCATTCACAGCTCCACGTTGGGGAGCAGATGGAGAGAGAAGCCAAGGCTACCCCGGGAAGTAGACCCGGGGAGGCGGCCGCCTTTCCTGCCCCACAGCCCCAGTGGGTGTGGGGGAAGTTGCTGTGAGCCCTGGAGGCCTCAGGGCTGGTTCTGCAGCTGGCCCTGCGGGAGAAGGGGGAAAGGTCTCCAGAGACGTGAGGTGGCCTTTTATGGAGCTGAACGTGCCTTCAGGAGGATGACAATACTTCCTGGAGATACAACGAGGACACAAATGGGGTGTTTGACCTTCATGAGGTGTCTGCCCTGGAAGGAAGCCAACAGAGTTAAGGGTTGCCAGTGCTGATGGTCAGGCAGTGACCTAACACTGGGGGGTCCAGCCAGCACCCCCCGACCCAGCTGGGGTGCAGCTCGGCTCCAGACGCTTGAGTCCACCCCAAGTGGAGTTAGGGGGTAGCTCGAGGACCCCTTGCAGTGGGGCAGAACTGTGAAGGAGTCCCCCACGGCCGTGTCCTGGCCTCCACTCCTGAAGCATGGCTGTGCTCTTAGTCAGGGGGGACACTCGGGGAGAGAGAGAACGCCTGCAGGAGATGGAGGCCGGAGAAGTCTTGGAGGATGTCTTCAATGCACGCAGTTGGCTTCCGTTTAGAGACAGCAGTGCCCGGACTTGCTCTTCCTCTCTGCACAGAGCACCTGCAGACCAGGAGCCCGAGTGTCCATCTGCAAGTGTCCTCGCGTCCAGAACACACAGGGTTGGGCTTTTGAAATTGTGTGTGTGTGTGTGTGTGATGCGTGTGCACTAACACAAAAACCATCACCATCGGGCCAGTTGCCACGCCTGGTGACCCTGTGTGTGTCAGGTTACAACTGTGCTGCCCCCCAGGGTCTCCGGCGGCTGTGACCATACAGAAGCCAGGCCTTTTTTCTCAGGCGTTTGTGAGTGCATTTGAACCACCAACCTTTCAGTTAGTAGCCAGGGGCTTTTCCTGATTGCACCGAGTGTGTGTGTGTGTGTGTGAACACGGGAACACGGTTAGCTCTCGTGGCTGCTAACCCAGAGATCGGGCCTCAAATGAGAGCCTACAGCCCCTAGAAAATCCTTGTGGAACACAATTCTGTTGACACACATGGGGTCCCTGTGACTCAGAACCAACTGTCCAGCCACTGGTAGGTAGACAGACAGACGTCGAGGCCTCTGCGTGTGCGGGTAGGTTGGGAGAGTGAGTGACCAGCATTGTTGGAGGTTAGAGCATTACTGAGCCTGGTGGGTGGGTCTTGGCGGGGCCAGGGAATCCACACGCCTGAAACCCTGCTCTCTGAGGCTGTAAATCGCAGAAGGCGACTGCCTACACCTTTCTCCCGTGGAGTGGCTGCAGGGTCTGAAGGGCCCTTTTGGGTTAGCGGCTGAGGGCTTAACCACTACCCAGCCAGGGCTCCACAGGAACAAGTGTTGAAGCCTACGGGCCGCCTCTTAACGAAACACCAGGCCTTGCCCGCCCCAGTTACCCGGGCTGGGCCCTGAAGGTGGCGTCTCAGGTGTGGGCCTCGTGTGCCTGTTGCACCTGCAGGTGTGGTTTTCGTTTGAGGGTTGGATCTGCCTCGGTGAACGGCCCCTCTAAGTCATCATCGCAGTTCCTGGAAGCTGGCTTTGTCCTCCCCACGGTGGCTGCCTTCCCTGGAGGCCTGGCGCCCCCTGTCGGAACAAGCTGTTTACTCTCTCGGATGGAGTTTCAGCTGGGGGCCCTCTCCCTGCGTGCCAGCTCTGTTCAGCTACCCCAGGCTTGTTGTGCCTGGACACTCAGGGACGCAAGATAAGATGCAGGGGAGGCTGGCAAAGAGACCACTGGCCACGTATGGGGGGCCAGTTACAGGCCAGGGGCCTGGCCACATGTTGAGGTTGGTGGCCTCTTCACGATAAGCACAAGGCAGCCTGAAGGGTGGGTCCCCTGGTCCTTTGAGGGTCCGGGGCCCTCTGTTTCTTTGCAACCATTGCCCAGTGCGGGTAAGCAGATCACAGGGTGGCCCGGGGCCTGTGGGGCGATGGGCTGGGAGCGTGCTGAAACACCGCACTGCCGGCTGCGGTGTCCTGGGAGGAAGATAAGGCCTGGGACTGCCTGGCAAGCATCCGGTGGGGTGGCGGCCAGGGGACGGGGACACACTGATAGCCAGACCCTTTGCCCTGCCCGGGTTTCTTTTCACTTCTAGATGTGGGCCCAGGCGTGGTGTGTGCCCATGGTCCCCAGGACAGTGCCAGGGGCCATGTGATGCCAGCCGACTGTGGGGCAGAGCTAGTTGGGGGGGGGGCAGGGAGGGCGAATAGAGCCCCTTTTCTGGCTACGACCGGGGCCACCTTGTCACAGTGACTGGGTATAAATTGTCTGGCTTCCCTAACACAGACACGAGGACTTGATGGAATTGTACCTGGCTAGGAGCTCTGGTAGCATAGTGGCTAAAGCACTTGCCTGCTCACCAGAAGGCTGGCGGTTCAAACCCACCAGCCACTCCTCGGAAGGAAGGTTGGGCAATCCTACTTCCGAAGTGATACTGCCTCGGAAACCCAAGGAGGGGTCGCTATGAGTCGGGGCCGACTCGACGGCACATAACAACAAGCAGTGACCAGGGAAAACCTTCCTGTCCCAAGGCCTGATGAGGCTGGCTGTGCTGGTCTACCTTCCCCAGGGGAGGGAGGGACTGAGCTGACCCTCGCCCAGAAGACGGCTCTGCCTCCAGCGCATCTGGGGAGCGGCCTATTAGCAACACCCACAGCAGTGTCCGTGCCTGTTGCTGGGTGGTGACAGCTGCCTAGAGCTTAGGGTTCGGGTTGTGCTCAGTAATCAAAAAGTGGGCAGTTCCCATCCAGCGAGAGGTGCGGCAGGAGAAAGGCCTGGTGATCTCAGAAACTAGCCATTGAAAAGCCACAGCACAGTTCTGCCCTGGCACATGGGGCGCCATAAATCAGTTCATTCAGAGGGTCCTGCTTTTTCAGCTTGTGGAAGAGTTACAGGGGCAACGTTTTGTGAGTTTGCAGCTCTTCATTTTTTTAGGTTTTTATTTGCTTTTGTGAATAAGGGATACACTCCCAGGGCTCAAAATGCTAAAAAGACAAAGACTAGGTGACAGGACACCTGCCCCCAGAAGACCCACTGTCACCCCTTTGCTCACGTGGCCCAGTGCCCATCAGCTGTGTTTTCACCTTGTATGTTTCCAAGTCACCCTCGAAGCTGAAGTCTGATGTTTGCTCATTGAAAGCCGTTTCCTGAGCCCTGACCACTGCTCTGCCTGAGGTGGGGGGGACCAGAGACCCTCACACGCGAGCCTGTGTACCCCCAGACATCATACACCAGCAGCTGCATTTGGGCCTTTGCTTAGGAAGGGCCTGATAGATGTGTGAGGTTTTGGGTGGACCCCAGGAGATTCAGGTGAGGCTCTCTTGCACCCGTGCTCACCGGCTGGCCTCTCTCGCCCTCCTCCGCAGACGTGAAGTTCATCTCCAACCCCCCCTCCATGGTGGCCGCCGGCAGCGTGGTGGCCGCAGTGCAAGGCCTGCACCTGGGCAGCCCCCACAGCCTCCTGTCCAGCCATCGCCTCACGCGCTTCCTCTCCAAGGTGATCAAGTGTGACCCGGTGAGTGCTGGGCGGGGCCGGCAGGCCCACGGCGTGGAGACACTGCTGCTGTGGGGGTTCCCAGTGTGGTGGCTGGAGATAGTGCAGGGGTCCTGGGCCCCCACAGGACAAGGAGGCTGTGGCTGCACTGGGAATGGGGTTAGAGGACACCCATCAAGGACGCAAGGGAGGTGGGGGCAGGACCTTGATCCCCTCGGGCCCAGGAGCAGGACTGAGGCCGCCTTGTGCCTGACTGGCAGGGCTGGCCCTACACTGCCCAGTGCCGCCGGCCTCCGAGAGCGGGCTTCTTTGCAAAACCCTTTGGAACTTGCTGGCAGAGCCGGGAGGACCTCCGAGTATCCTTACGTAGGTCTCCTGAGTGACCCTCAAGGAAGCTGGGCCAAAGGCAGCCGCAGCCACTGATCTGCGTCCTAATGGTGTGAGGTCAGGAGCCACGGGAGCTTTGTCTGGGTGACACTGTGCGTGGCCCATAAAGACATGCCCTCGGAGGGCACCTGTGAGCTCTGGCTCCCGGACAGTGAGGCATGGAGACACCCCGTTCTCCAGCCCTCTGTGAGGCAGCAGCCCCAACCCTGCAGGCTGGCCAGCTCTTTCTTTTTCCAGATGCCATTGTTTTATTCTGAAGCCTTTTCTCTTTTTAGAGAAGCAATTAAAATAACAATGGGGAGGGTTTGTAGCCAGTACCAAATTAGAGGTTGGAGGGTCAAAGAGGTCACCGGCTATTTGTGGACGACCACTTCCCCTGGCACTCCCTCCATGTGCAAGGGCCAGATGGGGCCCCTGGGCTGCCTGTGGTCCATCCCAGGGTGTGGGGAGACATGGGGCAGGTCCCCACCACGATGCCATGGACTGGGGGACTTAGGGAGTTTGGGTGTGAGATGGGAGGCGGCTGCCCACTGTGACTTGTCAGTCAGAAAAGGAAGCAGCTTTCTGGAGCCAGCCCCTCTCTCCTCTGCTGTGAGCACACTCTGGGGAGCGGTGGGTACAGCCAGTGCCCCTCTTACTGCTTGGGAACAGACTGTCGGACAGCTTCCTAAGGATACCAAAAACCAAACTCACTGTTGTCGAGTGAGATCCAACTCATAGTGACCCCTCCTTGGGTTTCCGAACAGATTGCCCAACGTTCCTCCCGAGGAATGGCTGGTGGATTTGAACCTCCAGCCCTCTGGTTAGCAGTCAGATGCCTTAGGCACTAAGCTACCAGACCTCCTTGTTGTTGTTTTTGTTGTTGTGTGCCGTCGAGTCAGACCCGATTCATAGCAACCCCTCCTTGGGTTTCCGAGACTGTATCACTTACGGAAGTAGATTGCCCAACCTTCCTTCTGAGGAATGGCTGGTGGGTTTGAACGACCAACCTTTTGGTTAGCAGTCAGGTGCCTTAGGCACTGCGCCACCAGAGCTCATCTTCCTAAGGATGAGGCCTTTTAAAGCCCAGAAGACTTGCAAATCTGCATGAAATTCTACGAGTGGGCTTTGAACACCTAGCCCTCCCCCCACACACACACACACAATGTGGCTGGGCCACTCAGAATGTCTCCTGAAGTGTCACAGTGCCACCTGCAGGCAGTAATGAGGAACTGTTGTATTGCTCCTCTCTTGGACCTGGTTCTAAAAAAACCAAACCAAACTCACTACTGCGGAGTCGGATCTGACTCCTAACAACCCCTCCTTAGATTTCCAAGGCGGTATCACTATGGAAGTAAATTTGTCCAGCCACTCCTTCCAAGGAGTGGCTGGGGTGTTTGAACCACCAGCCTTCTGGTTAGCAGTCAGGTGCCTTAGACACTGGGCCACCAGAGTTCTTGATTCTAATTAGATGTGAAATAAAATGCTTCCCCACCATCCTGGGGGTGGAGAAATTAACTATGGATGCACTTGTGGAGACTTTGGTGATGCAGTGGTTAAGTACTTGGCTGCTAACTGAAAGGTCGGTAGTTCAAACCTACCCAGCCACTCCCCAGCAGAAAGACCTGGCGGTCAGCTTGGTAAAGATTGACAGCCTTGGAGAC